AAAAATACAAACCTGATCAACCAAAATGTAAATAGTGAATTGTATACACGCGTATGCTTCATAGCGAACTGGAGCACGCAAAATTCACCAACTGGGATGAAAAGTATAACCAAAACACAATGTGCCACTATCAAAACTACCCTCTCTTCATTATTACTTGATATCCAATCAGTAAGAAACAAAACTTATGAACTCTTGATATTTCTTGAATCACAGAATATTCCAGATTTCCTTCTTCTAACTGAACACTGGCTAAGAGAGGATGTACCAGGTTATATTCCAAGTTATGTCATTGTATCTTATGATCTTATATTAGTGAACATTGATGATAATGGCTTTCTTTTTGCAGAACATGAATTATCCATATAATTTGCATTTACCGATGGCCTAATTCCGATGTTGAAAACTTCAAATAAACTTGAAATTCTCTTATCAATCTTACCAATTAACTCGAAGATTGTACTCACAGGTGAATTTAATATAAATTTCGACGATGGAGAGTGTATGGTGAAGCAGGACGTACATAACTTACTGACCTCTCTAAACTTGACCATGCATGTTAGTGAATAGCCACTATCATTGACTATATCTGCTCAAATTTGGAAAAACAGAATATTAGTAGTAAGACTGTTCCCGCAGGCCTTTCAGACCATCAAGCTCTCATCTTCGAATTGTCACTTCAAACAGTGAATAAAAGAAGTGAATACAGATTTGAATTGAAGGGGTTATATTTTTAGGAGTGATTAATTTTTAGGAAAGAAAGTTTTTGGCCCAAGTAGAAAGCCAGAAACTTTCTTTCCTAATGAATATAGATGGAATATAACACCATGAGCAAACGTTTTGAACTTTGACGATTCAAAAACCGTGTTCCAAAACTACCTGAAAGATATATTCGAAAAATGTTATCCAAAAAAAAGATCAGAATCAAAAATAAAGAAAAAAAGCCCTGAATAACCCAAAGTATAAAAAAATTGGCAATAAACTTGAGGTCACTACTATTGAAAAATTCATAACTGATGAAATTTTCATATCATATTTCAATACATAGAGAACGATTTATAGATCACTAATGAATCTTGCCAAATAACGATATTTTGAAGACAAACTATACATTGCTGAAAATAAAGCAAAAGATAACTGGGACAATTAATAAATTACGTGGAAAAGGTAATATATAGCCTACTAATGCGGATATAGATCCTAACGTGTTAAACAACTTCTACTGTATTATAGCACAAAAAATAACATCAGAATTACAATCTATCCAACTGAGTTTATGAAAAATATAAATATTCTAGATAACTTTCACCTATTTGATACAGACACATACGAAATGAAGAAAACTATAAATAGAATAAAGAACAAAATACATCTGATTACGATGAAATATCAGTTAAAATTTCAGAAAATCTCCGAGAATACGCTTTGAATATTCTTGTTGAGGCCATTAATAAATCATTTCATTTTGGCAGATATCCTACATATCTGAAACTAGCAAAAGTCATTCCGCTCCATAAAGGTGGTGAAAGGAATGAATCGTCAAACTTCCGGCCTATATAATTGCTTCCGACAAACTCAAAAATAATTGAGAAACTGGTTAAAAAGAGAATGATCCACTTCTTAAGTAATCATAACATACTATGTGAATCTCAATATAGATTCCAAAGCCATGAAAACACAGGCGAAGCAGTCTTCTCTTTTTTGGAAGATGCATCCATTGGTTCAAATAATAACGAATCTGATGTGGCAGTATTCTGTGATTTCTCAAAAGCGTTCGACTGCGTGAACCACTATTATTCTAACTTTAGTGATATGGCTTCAGAGGATTGTCATATAACTGGCTTCACAGTTATCTTACAGGCAGGAAGCAATTAGTAAAACTCCAAGGAAATAAATCGCATATTGAGAATAATTCATCAAGGGTACCACAAGGTTCGGTTCTGGGTCCTATCCCTTTTCTGCTTTATCTGAATCATCTGGTAACCATTGACATTAGAAAGAAGTTCACTCCTTTTGCGGATGACAACACGATCCTTTGGCTTGGGATGAATGAAGATAATCTCAGAGTCATTATAACTCTTGATCTCTATAGGGCTGAACAGTCGTGCGATTTAAACTCCTTATGTTTCAATACAAATAAAACAAACATAGTTTGCTTCAAACTCAATTTCGAAGACTTAGATACTGATAGAAAATCAAGCTATAGTTAACAAAACTCACACAAAATATTTAGGGGTATTTATAGATGATACATTAAAATCTGATAAGCATATAACAAATTTATATAAAAAATTGCATCTGGCTGTTATGCAGTTCGAGTTGTTTGTACTGAATTCAGTGTTCGTTCTACAAAAAAGAGCTGTTAGATATATATGTAAGGTAAAATCACAAGACTACTGCAAACCACTTTTCATTAGTCAGAAAAATCTAACTGTACCTTGTTTGTTCCTTTTAGAAACCGTTTGCCTAATCCACAGAAAATACTCCAACACATCAGCAAATAATGACAGACGTTACCACACGAGACAAAGTCCGAATTTACCCTTGCCAACCCCAAAATTTTCTTCGATATATGAGAGTAAGAAAATATACAACCACCTTCCAATGTGCTATAGGGCAATAACAAATTTTTAAAAAATCAGAAAATTATTTAAAAGAATACATCTGCAAAAGGCCTACTATGAATAGGAATAGAAATATTACGATGATGTATTTTAACTCTTATTATTTCAGATGTTTACATATCTGTAATGATTCATTCATTTATTATCTGTAATGGTTTATAAATTGTTTTATTTATGTGTATTCGTATATGTACATTTTTTACCCTATAATTATTGTTCATTGTATATCATAATTTCAATATTTTTTAAAAAACTTTAACATTTTTGACTCCATAAAGTTTCACTAACTTTGTCAATAAGGATTTCTTGTAAAATGAAGAATGATTGATTCATTAAAGTATAAAAGAACTGAATCGTAATGCTCTTCTTCTAAGGGATCTCAAATTTTACGCTAATTAAATATTGAAGATCTTCGACAGAACTAACTGCAATAATATTGAATGAAATCAACAGAAAATGATTTCTAAATACATTTTGGAAGTTGTCAAACAATCTCAGTGAGATGTTTGAAAAATGGAAATATTTTTCAAAGAAATTTTATACAGGATTTTGTCAGACTTGATCACCCTCAACTGTTAACAGTAAATACAAAAAAATTTATCACTCCTAAAAATATAACCCCTTGAATTCAAATACATATAGACTTGTGTATTTGTAGCCTATTTTTGTAATAACCTTCAATATTAAAAATATTTATTCTCTTCGATATTTCTGGGAGTTTCAATAATTCGATAGTGAAAAAATAAATTATTTATTTATGATTTGCCGATCTCAGTATTGCTAGTCGAGAAATGCTTATACTAATGAAGTTCGTTGCCTATCTAGATCGCTGCCTTCAATGGCCGTTTTTAGGTGTTTGCAAAAAACTAAAATGGACAAAATTCGTTTCTTGGTTCTACCATCTCCATTTCAAATGTCATGAAAATGATGTAAATTAACTTTTTGTGCTGTTTCATGTTTGTTATGATTTGATATGAGACAATATTGTCGATTCCACGGTAATTTACCAATTAAACCCGTCAACAATAGTAAACAGCTTGGTTTTTACTACTTTTATGTATCCCACTTTAAATATTGTTGTCGAGTAGATGACTTGTTTCGAAGTCCTAAATAATCACCATCAGATTTTGTTTTATTTGTGATAACTAGATTTTATCTCATTTACGTATATACAGCTGCCGGACTGAATCGTGGCCGTTGAGATAAGTATGTATGTACGATTTCTGTTTAAAAATCTGTTTAAAATGTATTTAAAATCTGTTTTTCCGTTAACCAGCTGTCGCACCCCTACGAACGACAACCCTCAGAAGTCGAAACTTGTGCGAGCTAAGGATTAACGAGGTCTTACTTTTTAACGTGTGATTCCTAACATGGGTTGGACGGTAGTAAGTGAAGATCGATCGTTCAGACTAAGGCTTGAACCACCGACCAACACGGCAGTCAATTCGAGTGAGTGAACAAAGCACCCACGCCGAACCGCTTGGCTACCGACTGACCACTAGCCATGATTCACTAGCCATGATTCACTCCGGTAGCTGTAATTGAAATCTTTCATGTTGTTTTTCCATCCATTTGAATATTCTTCTCGAAAGAAATGTAACTTGAAGACCTTCAGATTCGAATTTATCGAAAATCCAATAAACACTATAGCTTGCATTTCATTACTTCGGACTTTCATTGTTTAATATGATATAAATTGATTTGAAATCCCTGGAAGAATCTGTAAAAAATCAAAAAAATTATCTGAAAAATAACAATTAAATTAACAATATTAAACTGAAATTACAAATAAATAAAATACAAGCAGCAACCAAAAAATAAAAAAAAAATATTCCATTTCTCAGCATACAACTGTTTTACCACCGAAATATTTCAACTAATAACACACTACATATTTTAGTAGGCACTTTCAACAAAAAATCGAAAATTTGGTTTTATGCTTCATTTTCAGATCGAACACTCCGTATTGATATAAAATGTATTTGCAAAAATGAACTCATCAACAAAAAGAAAGGACACAGCGAAGTAATTTATAGAAAATCAAGTTTCAGAATAAAGTTCAAGGATTTTCTCCGGTTGACCATCACCTCGGCTCTATTCAGAACGAAAATTCATATATTCCTTCACGGATTCGAAAAGGATGGAAGACGTCCCGACATTATCATGCTCGTGGAAACCATTACATCCTTGATATGGCCATCAAGGTGATGATCAAAGTTGTATCTGATCTCTAAATAGTCGGGAAAAAATTTAAAACTTTTTTCTTAACTTTCATTGAAAGATATTGCGGTGTTTCCATAGTGTTGGGACACCCGATATATGCAGATGCTGCATATAATAATCGAGTGAGCACTTTAAGGTCTAACCGTCAACGTACGACATTTAAATGTACTCGAACCATAAACGTCATTACAATCGTCAAACTTCATCTCTAAATTACTGTGAATGAACACAATGCTCTCCCAGATCGTCAAACCATTACAAAAACACATAACGAAAAACATCAGGTATTTGATTTTTCATAATGTGTGTGAATGATTACAGCTTGGAAAACTTTTTCTAGGCAATTCAGGAAATATGTTAGAAAATACAGCAAAAAGCACAGCCAATCCAAAGAAAAAACTCAGAGTGAATTTCAGGTCTGTACAATTTCAGATTGTATGGTGGATCCTTGTAAGCCAGAGCCTTCTGTTGTTATTATCGGAGCTGGAATCGCAGGTTTATCAGCAGCTCAAAGGCTTGTGCATTGTGGAATTAGTAACTTCACGATTTTGGAAGCTACCGAAAGGTAAACTACTATTGCATTCATTTTTATCTCAAAGTAAAATCTCGTTGTGCAAAATCTCTCCAATGTAATGAAACGTAATAATATCACGATTTTCTATCAAACTTATACGTTAAAGGTTTCATGTGTAAGTTTGAAAATATGGCTAAATTATACTTCATGGGATACTCACGGATTTTGGCGATTTTTTCTGGGATGATACTACATGATGATAGGAATTCAGAACACTTTTCATTTTTTGTCGGACTCAATTAGTTTTCGAGATATAGCCTGTCAAAATTTGTATGACGTCATATTTTACCTTTTTTTTTTAAGCAATAAACGATTGCAATTGACATATTTTTTTATCCAACACAACTTTTTCCATATCATCGCACCTTTTTCTATCCATTTTAAATCACTCATTGCCGAGTTTCCTGAAATTAGAATAAAATTCCATAATTTGTCAGGTGCACACATTGACATAACCTTATAGGTTATGTCGCTGGGTGCACACAAATCACTTTTTATAAATTGCATTAAGTTTCACTATTCGAAAATATGTTCCTTTTAGAATTCGGAGGTCAGGTTAGATGTTGAGGATACATAGTTTTTTAAAATTCTAAAGTAAGGTTAGACTGAGTTAGGTTAGGTTAAGTTAACATGTGACAAATTAAGTAATTTCAATCTAATTTCAAGAAACTTGGCAATACGTGAATGAAAAGGGATAGAAAAAAGTGCGATGATATGGCAAAAGATGTGTTGAAAAAAAAATGTGAGTTGTAATCGTTTATTGCTTCATATTGAGTGACACCCAAAATGGCTTCCGAAGAGTCAAATCTACTACACGAGCGATTTATCAAGCCTTGTGCACAGCACAAAATGAAAGAAAACACACTTTAGTGATTTGTCTAGATCTGTCAAAAGCTTTTGACAGTGTCGACCATAATATACTAATAGGCAAACTTAATGCCTATGGAATCTTGGGAATCTCAGCCGATTTAATAAAATCATATTTGCATAATAGAACACAAAGAGTTGTTGAAAAATACCACCTCACTAACGAAAACATACAGTCAGATGAATCGACAAAAAATAAAAAGTGTTCTGAATTCCTACCATCACGTTGTTTCATCACAGAAAAAATCGCGGAAATCCATGAGTATCCCGAAAAGTAAAATTTTCCCGAAAATATCCTTATAGGACGATACTTCAGTAACGTTAGTTACAAATAAAAGTGGTAAAAACATAAAAAGTTCCAAATCTCTTTTCTTCACATACTTTGTGCCTGCCCCGCTGGGGACTGAATCAGATTTTTAAAGTTCGGCAGAGCCGTACTCTTACCATCTGAGCTAAAAGACCACTCACCATACAAACTAATCGGCTCCGTTAGAAAGCTGGGTTTATTTGGTCGAGTGAGAATAGGTGCGAGCCGCAATGAACCCTTGCGGGTTGCGGTTAGGTAGACCCACTCACTTTGGACCTAACCTAACCCATGTCAGCCTATGAACTTTACCGTATTCCAATGATGATTTTCAACACATAATATGCAATAATCAATTTCTTTCTTGTTTGAACAGATATCAAAAGATCCAAAAATATAATGCTTGCAATAAGAAAATGATTGTAACAAATTCAGATGAAGACCTTTAATATGAACTTGCATTCAACTGAATAACAAGATGGAAAATATTCAAATTTCATATGTTTCAATGTTTACGTATATTATGATAGTGCGATAAGCTCTTGCGGGTGTACGCCTCTCCAATGTCAAATATTTTCCACACTACCCAGAAGAGAAGTCCGAGAACACACACATCAGACAATAAACCAACCAGATCGTAATTTTCTCTCACAAAATCAGATAATTTTCGTTTCTTGAACTTTTTTTTCTTCTCTTGATACTGGGTTTTTTCGACGGATGTAGAACTGATAACATTGTCCAAAGCAGTTCTGAAAGAAGATTCACTTTCGGTGTCTTCTATTTTCACGACTATCTCAGATAGATTTTCGCCATTATTTTCCGTAGAGTAAGAGTTTTGTTGATCTGGAACATCATCATTGCTATCGATTACACTTATTATTTCTAGAGGGCTGGGAAATTCATTGTTTTCCATAATTGTCACGGACACTTCACTTCGATAAGGTTTGTCAGGTTTTATAGTCCAATAGTGAACTCCGACTGACTCATTGGAACAAGATGGAAGTTTGGTAGGACCGTACTAGATTCATAGAAATTGCCTCATGAAGAATTCCACAGGAGACACAAACCAAACCAAAACATTCGCGATCGACCAAATTACAACCTTCTATCAAGTTATCACACTTGTCGAAATGTTACGACTTATCGTCTTCGATTCGTTTCGAACTGTAAATGGGCACTATTGATACCAACTATGAGTCACTTGATATTTCAGATTACTTGGTCGTAGCTAGAGACGTAAACAAATTGATACTAATCATGAAATAATGATATCTCCACTGCACAACGAGGAGGAATAGAAAAAAAAGCAGATAAAGCAAACTGCCGTATATGCATAATTCGGTCTGATAGTATAGACTGGGAACTTTGAGTCTTCTAAATTTCTGAAGATGGACAAACGATTCTATTCGAGAGTGATNAGAAGTGTAAACTTGTGCGAGCTAGGGATTAACGAGGTCTTACCTTTTAACGTGTGATTCCTAACACGGGTTGGACGGTAGCAAGTGAAGATCGATCGTTCAGACTAGGGCTTGAACCACAGACCAACACGGCAGTCAATTCGAGTGAGTGAACAAAGCACCCACGCCGAACCGCTTGGCTACCGACTGACCTATTACATCAAGATCTAGGTTAGGTTACGTTAGGTTTCTCACTTCAAAAAAATAAACCCACAAAGGATGTATTTTAAATGAGTAGTATAATGGGTTCTTCAATGAATTTCACTTACTCAAAGTTATCCAAACTTTGCTCACCAGAAAAGTTTTCCTGATATTAGTCCAACGATGCATCAGCCAGTGTTTCAATAGTAATACCTGGAACAAAATGTACATTAAAGTTCATTATCACAATCTGAAAGTGACACAATAAAACTGGAATAAAAATCAAGTAGATATTTTTCTCAGAGGTTCCTCATGAACATTTTCAACTTTTTATGACTTGGAAAGAAACTTGCATTTCCCTGTTGAAAAGTACTCGTTACGATCTCAGTTTCTTGCTACACCTGCCTGTACCAGGTACCACTCCGTTTCCTTTTGGGCATATTGATACTATCTTGAGAAATATCTATCTATCTCTACTGAAGATACACAACTGAAATCACTCTATATTAAACATGTGCTTAGTCAAACCAACAAATCCCATACACTAACTCTCCTCGAGCCTAAAATGAGGTATAGTAGGTTAATCACCATGACTTTACTATCGATACTATTGCCTTTTACTTACTTTTCTTAAAGACTGAATATGCAACTCTACTGTTTGAAGATGCAAAAGCAAACTATTCGCTGTACTGCAAATTGGACAACTCCAAACTATAACATGAGATAATAACACCAATACACCATGCATTATACACGCGAACCTGCCACGTCAACCGTCATGTTAAATCAAATGTCGATGTCAACGCAAAACTGCCAAGCGTTGTCTGTCGCGCGCTACACTTCAATTAACCAATGAGAAACGTTTACTCCAATACTTTACTTCCCCATTTCTCTGTTGCCAGGATTTTTCGCTTTGTAATCGAATAATTTCAAATACGAAAAGACAAATAGGATGAGAACAAACCAATTTATTGATATAATTGGTTCATTTATTGGCCCATTCGAATTTTTTGTCGGAGGAATTCATCAGAATCTTAGCGTTGAGTTCAAAAACTGCTTACCACTATCAGGGTTATATACATTAGGTTATGCATTCGATTGAAATCTTCAAATATTTTTGTTTTTAATAATATTGAATTATTTGAATATGTTATCATAAGATAATTCAAAATTTCAATAATACATTTCATAGAATATTCCAAAGAATACCGTGGGGATATATTCTAAAAATGTATATTCGATCGACAATATTCTCAGAATATTCACGGGAAAATAATCGATTTATAGACATTCTATGCACATTCTTTCAGGAATAATTTTGCCATATTCATTCATATTCATATTCTATGAATATAGTAGAGGCATGTATATATTCCAAGAATATTCTATGAATATTTGGAATATATACGTTCGTTTTATGACATACAAGGAATATTCCATGAAAGAAGGAAAGCAATCAATTTCTGCTTATAACGGAGAAGTAAAATTTTCCACCTCAAGAAAGAAGCGGCCTAGAAGAGCATCAGTAACTGATATTCCCGAGTATGAGTATTCCAATATTAGATGGATTATTTACGACTTCCATTAGACGGAAAGGTGTCACGTTACGGTAAAAAAGTTCCAACACAAAATTAATGACGTTTTGGGAATTATGGCTTCTGAAAGATCTCTTCGTAGAATTTCAAGGAAGTATGTTTCAAATGGAGAAGGACTGAAAATAACGGAAATATTTTAATAGAGAAAATGTACATTGGTGCATAGGGGATAAAGTATTCACGAGAAATCAATTATTTTCATAGCTAACAGCGACCAATTGTGTTTCTTGATGAAACGTACCTTTATGGACATACATCTTCCAATAACTGGGTAGATAAATCAACCAAAATATTATTTGAAAATATTGCGAAGGGATCAAGACTCATTATTGTCCATGCAGTAGGAATTATACGAGTTGATCAAGGTGAATGGAAAGCATCATATTAGATATAAATTTGATGAGTGTCTTACTGAACACGGATATAATGTTTTGCGGCTTCCAACCTACCATCCGGATTTGAATCTCTTTGAACTCATTTGGGACACTGTCTCAAAATAATGTAACTTTCAAGTTGGAAGATGTGAGGAAAGAGTTTGATCAAATTCCTGCAGAGGAATATTGTTAAAACGAAACATTCACAGACGTTCAAACAGAGGTAAATCCAGTGATTATGAATTTAAATGGCGATAGCAGCAGTGAAGATGAAAAAAATGTGTATTCAGATAATGATTGAATAAATTTCAGTTTTGGATAAGAAAGTGTATCATAATATAACATTTTGAAGAATTATACTACTACCTAAAATACTGAATAAAATATGAAAAGAAATTACAAAGAAGTCATGTTGAATTTGTTACCCTAATTAAAACTAATTATAGATACTACATTCACCGGCAAGGGGCTTATCCAGTAGTAATTAAGTTGGGAGAGTCTATATCTGCTCGATCGCTTGTCATCAGCCGTGATGTGTACTGTACCTTCATTGTGATAAAGGTCAAATTCATCTTATTTTAATTCTTGTACGAGCAGCGCCGTATTAAGGCATTGGCCACCTGGGCCCGGGCCCAGGGCCCCGAGGTCCTGAGGGGCCCCAAAAGTTCGTGTGAATGACAAAATGTTTCTCAGAAAAACATCATTGAAATTTTTGAAATAATACGCGTGTACCGCATTCAGTTCTTCCAGAGGCTTCAACGATTGGAAACATTCCGGGGCGTGCATTTTGGAACACGAGACCAGTCCAGGACACACGCAAGCCATCTTGACTTACGTGGCACGGAAGAAGAGCGTTGTCTTGTTGATGAAGGTTTGGCCACTCAACTGAACAACGAAATGACTTACTGGAGAGAGGTGTTGAGAAGGATCGTGGAGGTCGTAAAATTCTTAACATCCAGAGGTCTGTCGTTCCGTGGGGATAACGAAGTCATCGAATCGCAACATAACGGAAATTATTTGGGTGTGCTGGAACTGCTAAGCAAGTTTGATCCATTTTTTGCCGACCATTTGCAAAATCATGCGAATAAAGGTACATGACATGTTTCCTACTTGTCAGCACCCATTTGCGATGAGTTCATAGCTATAATTGGACATCAAGTACAGAGCCAAATCATTTCGGAATTGAAGAAAGCGAAGTACTACTCGATAAGCGGCGACTCTACCGCTGACATCAGCCACATCGATCAGCTCACCCAATAGAACGATTCTTGGAACGGCATGGAGCAGAGTACCTGTCCGATACCGTTGTATCTTTTCTTGAAGAAAACGGTATATATTTACAGGACTGTCGTGGGCAGACGTTCGACAACATTCCAAACATGGCAGGGCAGTATAATGGATTACAAACAAAGCTCAAGGAACACTGCACCTGCGCCCTGTCCGTCCCATGTCTGGCGCAAAGCCTGAACCTTGTCGTTGGGCAGGCCGCAGGGTGTATCATCGAGGCGACAAGCTACTTCCAGTTGCTGCAGAAGTTGTAACGTGTTGAAGAAGTCTCTCGGGGAAGGTACAGTGGTGAAACGACTTTCGGACACCAGGTGGTCTGCGCGCGCGGTTGCTCTATCTGCATTGCAGATAGAGCACCCAGCAATAATCGACGCACTGAGGACCATGTATGACGAACGAGAAACTCCGGAAACGCGAAACGAAGCTCGAAGCATTTTGGCGAAACTGGAAACGTTGGACTCTGTTCTGCTGACCGAGATGCGGAGCAACATTTTGGTCAGGTGCAACGAGACGTCGAAGAGTCTACAGAGTGGAAGTCTTCCTCTCGACGTAGCTCCCAAGTTGGTGGAATCCCTGCTTGCGTTTGTGGAGGATCAACGCGACATGTTCAAGACCTACGAAGCTGCGACAAAAAAGATCTTCCCGGACTTCGAATACAGGCATAAGACAACTCGTTCAAGACAAAGGAGCTCCCGACTGACTTTCTCCGACTGACTTTGATCACTCAACTGCAACATTGTTCGAAGGCTTTCGATCAACTACTCAATTTGTTCGGATTCTTTTCCAGGTTGAGCGTTTTGTGATTTGAAGAGCTGCAAGATCATTGTCAGACTTTTAGCGAGTTTCATACAAACGACGTCGACGAAAAAGAACTGCTGATGGAATGTGAACACTTTAAGCATTATTTGATGCAGGAAAAAATGTTCGGTGATCACATACCTATCTATGACATGTACAAACTTTTAAGGAGTAACAATATTGCTGCCATGTTTCCCAATGTAGAGATCGCGTTAAGAATTTTCTTGTGCTTAATGATCACCAACGCCAGTGGTGAACGATCATTCTCCAAACTTAAATTGATCAAAAACGAACTAAGGAATAGCATGAGCCAGGGGAAACTCAAATGGTTGTCGCTTAAGAGTATAGAGAACGAGGTCCATAGAGATTTAGATTTCAAAGATGTAATCGAGGAGTTCGCCATTCGAAAGGCCCGAAAAAAACCTGTGTAATAAATAAAATGTTGAAAAAAATATTTTCAACACGTGTTTTTGTAAAAAACATTTTTTCAAGGGGAGGCGGGAGGGGCCCCCAACAGTGACTGGCCCAGAGCCCCGGAAAACCTAAAAACGGCACTGGGTACGAGAAAAAGTGAAAAAATTGATGACGTACAGGTTTCAGACCGGGAAATCAAAATAATCGTGATGAGCGAACAAAAACTCAAAGTTACATCAAGTTACCGTGGAGAGCTGGAATGTATACTTGATTTAAAAGTGCAGGAGTGATTATTACCCCTCGCTTGAGGGTGAGAGAGGTGAAGTTGAAAATATATGCACAGATTGCATCTTTTCAATAAAAAAATTACATGTCATTGCTTTTTCCAAAATGTTGGCAAATTCCTGATGACCATTGTTTCGTTTTCGTTTACCTACCCTGTATACCTCGAACGTAATCACATTGGCGCAGAGTATTGAACATTGAAATAAAGAAGACATTTGTTTTTGTCTTACTGCTGCCACGTAGCGGACATAATTAACATCTCCAGTTATATTGATTGTCATTTTGCAGGCCCGGCGGAAGAATACATTCCTGCTGGTTGGGTGACGTTATAGCTGAAATGGGTGCCCAATACATAGATGGCGCATGTGTCGGAAACCCAATCTACAATTTAGCCGCTCAAGAAGGATTATTACAAGCCCCTCTGAAAACAGTGGACCCCTCCAAAGGCATATTCTGTACTAGTGATGGACGGGCGATTGATACACCAATATCGATGATGGCTTTTCACGTTTTCAAACATATTGAGCACGAAGCTGCAAGTTTGTTCAATATGGGGTGCACCAAGGATCACGGATCTCTACAAAACTTCTTAGGTCTGTAGGTGGTTTGTTGAAGTATATTTTTGGCTCTCAATGATTTGAGTTACTAACGAAGATCGCAGTTTGAAGTAGACTCATCAAAAATGAACAAAACTTTTGAAACAACGTATTTTTTTATATTTTCCTCATATATTTGATTCCGAGATTATTCATTTTCATTATTTGCATTAATGGGTTGACTTAAGTTTCTTGAACTTAAACAATTTCAATCATTTGTTCAGGTCCTAATTTGTTGAATATTTTCTTTAATATTTGTCATTACGAAATTATGAATGGAAACTGTTGCTGGCGATTGCATGGCTAAGTTTAAATGACCAAATCTCTTACTCTATTTCGGATTACAGGATTGCGAATACAACAAGAACTGCAGAAGTTTCCGGAAGATCGACGCTACGATGTATCGAGAATAATGTATGGATTAACGAATGCCTTACGTGCAAGAATAGGCGATGACCTGAGTAGAGTCAGTGCAGATAATTTTGGAAGTATAATAAATATTCCTGGAGGTCATGTTTGTCTACCATTATCTAGTCTCAAATTTGGGAAACCTGTTGGACTCATCAGATGGGGAGCAGTGCAGAGTAGAAATAAAGGTCCAAGAGCAGTTGTTCAGTGCTGTAATGGTGAAGAGTTTTGTGCTGACTATGTTATCATCACCGTTTCTTTGGGAGTATTGAAGGAGCACGGCGATAAACTGTTCTGTCCAGCTTTACCTGCGAATAAAATAGAAGCTATTAAAGCATTAGGTAAGATAGAATTACTACGGTGATATTAATGATAAAATTCTGCT